TTTTGGAAATTATTTGATTAATTGATTTTAGCTATCAAATAACTTATAATTTGACCAGGCTGAAGAACGATAAATGACGCATGATTAGAAATACAAAAGGGGGTTTTAGGCCACAATCGCTCTTACGACAAAAAACTGAATTAAAAAGAGATATTCTGGAAAATTGAAAAAAATGTTATCCTCAATATTAATTAAAAAATTCTCAACCGCTGAGAATTTTCAATTATCTTTAAATAAACATTTGAAAGCTTTTTTTTATTTCACTAAACTGACAGAAGGGTGCATCTAGTGCTAAGTAACGACTTACCGGTAGCCACCGGAGCCAAAGCCAATGCTGCCGTAATGACACATGAGGTATTATGAAGAGAATATCAGTCCATCCTTTGAACATACGATTGCGTCATATCAGATAGACACATCAGATAGATGCGATGATAAACCTAGTATAAAGTACTATTACGTGAACTAATGCTATCGTAAACTAATCTAACGATAATTATCTGAATATGTAATTTAAAACAATTGTTTAATTGTTATTAATCAATGTTTTTTTTTATTGCTTAGATGGATGGACGAGCTCACAGCGCACCTGGTATTAAGTGGTTACTGGAGCCCATAGACATCTAAAACGTAAATGCGTCACCCACCTTGAGATATAAGTTCTAAGGTCTCAGTACAGTTACAAGGTCAAACCGAAACACGTTACTGCTTCACGGCAGAAATAGGCGGGGTGGTGGTACTTATCCGCGCGGACTCACAAGAGGTCTTACCACCAGTAATTACGCAAATTATAATTTTGCAGGTTTGATTTTTATTACACGATGTTATTCCTTCACCGAGGAAATCAATCGTGAACATTTGTTGAGTACGTATTTCATTAGAAAAAGTGATACCCGCCTAAGATTCGAACACCGGTGCATCGCTCAATACGAATGCGCCGGACGTCTTATCCTTTAGGCTACGACGACTTCAAACTAACATGAGAACTCTGTTTTATAGCTTTAGTAGGCAAAGCATACAGCCTACAAGGTGGTGATTAGGTACCGTCGCTTGTGGACACCAGGGGCTCAACTAAGCTGCTATTTAGCCACTGATTACTCTCCACAAATCTCGGTTGAAGAAGGAAATGGCATAGCTCTTAGGAAACAACGTGGAAGGAGTTCATTCCGAAGTGGGATCGTACGTAGCAAAAAGGATCTCTGGAAACGCATTGAGGACCGCATTGATTACAGGTACTATGGTTGAATTCTTAGTTGTCTTGTCTTTTGCATTAACAGTTAACTCCAAACATAATTCAAAGATATGACGGACGATTTAACTTAGGAATTTTATATTGTAATTTAATAATAATAAAATAAAAAATGTAGTAGCATGCAACAGTGCGTTTATAACTTGACTAAGAAAAAATATATGGATAAAAAAAAACATGAAGATTTTGCTTTTTGTTTCGACTTACTTATTATATAACAAATGCCTTCGAGTGAGTAAATATTAAATGAAATTACGGTTTAATCTTGTGTTTTTACTCCCGACGTTTTAAATAGATTAGTTTTCGTTGTCACGGACGACTTACAATGGAGCACGGAAATCTATATATTAATACGTGAAGCAAAAACTTTGTATCCCTTTTTACGAAAATTGCGCGGACGGAGGAGTATGAAATTTTCCACACTTATACAAAATATAGAGAAGAAGTGCATAATGCTATTTTTTTTTTAAAATAATGCATATAAGATACATTAAATCAATAAACAAAACATTACACACACTACATACCATGTATTTGACGCACACACGCATGCATACTATTTATTGTCAAACTTTTGTTCTTGACGTCTGATGTCAAATTGAGAATAGATTGTTTGTCTTTATTAATATATTTTTATAGTGTAGCCTTGGCGAAATTTGTGATTATAGAAGTATAAAATACAATCATAATAGTGTACAAACATACAATTCCAATTAATTATAGTCGAATTTCGACTACTGCGGGACCTCTAGTGACTAGAAATCAATAAAAGGATTTGTCACATGAGAAGTACAATTTATTCAACACAAACACAATCACGAGATTTCATGAAACCAGACGGACTCAATTGAGATTGAAACGGCGTTATTCAATAACAAGGCAATGTCAAAGCAATTTTCTCAATTTTTGACTTTGACTAGCAAGTCTTCTTTGAACGAAAATATTGCCGCACCTGTGCGAGACACTTTAAATTTTTTTTTTTAAACGAGTGAAAATCACACACGACTTATTTTAAAAAAAAATTTATTTTTATTTATTGCCTTTTTAGGCAGACGAGCATACGGCCCACCTGATGGTAAGTGGTTACCGTTGCTCATGGACGTCAGCAATGCCAGGGGCAGAGCCAAGCCGCTGCCTACCATAAAGTACTCTCCGCAAGCCTCGTTTGAAGAAGGACATGTCATAGCGCTCGGAAAACACCGTGGAGGGGAGTTCATTCCAAAGCCAAAAAATTACATATAAAACGCAAGATTAAGTTACAGAGCAACACGAAATATTGAGGTTTAAACTAGCATCGTATTAACGTAATAGTGATAAAGTAATCCTTAACAAAATACGATTAACGCATACATTAGCTTATCATCAAATTTTCCATAAAACGTTCTTTCTCCAAACAAATGACTATTCGAAAAATATATTTTCGTTACAAAAGACACGAGACGCTTAATTAAAAAATTAATTGAATTATATTCGTATTTTAATTTTATTCCTTAGACCCAGCTGGTGTTGAGTAGGGTGGTGGTAACATTATCCAGCGAGGAAACGGGACAATACGTTCGTATGAGCTAAACGGAAGCAGAGTTTCCTCCGGTCACCGTCCTCGCCGAACCCGTCGCTTGCGACGAAGGGCTCGACGAGCAAATTAACCCATAGACACAGCCTGACTGAGTTTCTCGCCGGATCTTCTCAGTGGGTGGCGTTTCCGATCCGATGGTAGATTCTGCAAAGCACTGCTCTTGCTAGGGCCAGTGTTAGCAACACTCCCGGTTTGCGCCCCGTGAGCTCACCTACACGTCACGGAGAAGCTGAAATAGCCTCTCACGACTATCAGCATAAGGAAAAAAGAAGAGTTTCTTCTTAAATTCTCTTAATAGCATTTATTACTTAAGTCAATGAATAGAATGTGTCACCGGATATGTTAGACGCGTGCGCGCTCCCGATACCATCCGATACGATTAAGATACTAGTCTTATAGCAGCGGTCCAATACGTGGTGCACGTTCATAGTAAAAAAAAATTAATCACTTCTCTATCTACAAATAGATAAGGTCCGCAATTCTTGCCTCTGCAAGCTACTGCAATTATTTTCCAGCTCACTCATCTGTAATTACGGAATCCTCTGTGATCTTATTTTACTTGTCGTAGGGCGTATTGTAATCCCACGGAAGGGTATTCACAAAAATATGATTTGGCTAAAAGATTGTGTTATAGGGCAGCAGAGAAACACTTTGGCAAGAAGAAACACTGAGTATTTATGAAACGGAGTTTTATTGCGTGTTCCTTAAAATGTTATAAGTATCATAATTCTAACCATTTAGTCATTCATGGACTACGATCTAAAGGTAATGTTAATACTATTGCTACCTCCACTTAATGTCAAGAAGTGAAAGTATTCAGTTTGTGATATTTATGGACTCCGGTAGATAATCATTTAGCACCAGATGAACCCTGAGCACGTCTATCCGTCTATAATAATCTATATCTATACTAATATATAAATCTACAGTGGTTTTTACGGATGTTCCGTTATAACTACTGAACCATGCATCCGATTGACTTGAGACTTGCTATCCATGTAGAAAATACATGTACTTAATGGATAGGCTAATATTAGTATAAATGTTGGAGTCCCTATACCAGTTGCGGGGGCGTTAATGATGAGAATCTTTGGGGGGTGAGAAATAATAATGTTAATTTTAAATGCCCAGCGAAGCGGACGGGTACAGCTAGTAAATACATATAACAATGGTCGTCAGATTAAGCAGCTAATAATTTACGTAGAAATTTATATTTTGACCAATTATATTTTAATACACCTTTGCCATAAGAATTATCGAGCTATGAAAAAAAAACGTTATTCCGATATTTTCGATTCCCGACGTTATTACGTTAAACTTTGACATAATCTGTCTTGATAATGTAAATGATAATTTATATAACCGAGTGCATAAGCCACAGAGTATAAAGAACTTAAAATATAACAATACACAACATGTCATCGCTGCATGTGTGATGGTTTTAAAGTGAGTGGCCAGTATGACTCGTTTTGTTTTTTATGACTATGAATTTGTATAGTTCTCTTTAAACATGTTAAAAAGGTTATCGTCTGACAGATTTAGATTAATTTAGTATCATTGCGAATAATTATGTCGCCTTTCTGTACTCTAAAGATTTGGGTGAAATCATTTTATTATTTTCAATAGTTTTAATAGCTAAGTACAGCGTCCAACGTTAAATAAAAATTTGAGGTTTCATAAAATTTTAATAATGTAACAAGTGACAATGTAACTTACTTTGTAGTATAAGTACTTCATAGTAAGGCAAAACAAATTACGACTGCAAGAAGAAATAAAAACTGTCCCTTTGTAACTAATTTTCATAGTTTCATTTTAATGTATAAATGTACTTACGAGATTTCTTTCTCAAATTAAAATATTTTAAAGGAACGAAAAAAAAAAAGATACCTATTTCAGAACCACAATTGCAACCAAAAGTAAAACAGGTAAAAAGTTTAAATCAACAAGAAACAAACATGTAAATATTTAAGGATAAATTACATTGATAATGATTTTTCAACGTATCTGGAGCCCTTCAACGCACCGTAATTAATCCATTAACTCAACCCATTAGTAATTAAAATACACAACTTATTTCCGCGCCGAAACGTCCTAAAGCGGTGTGTTTCACGTGTCATTGATCCTCGTTGCAATTAAGTTTCAGCTTTGATCGAGATACAAATCATAAATCCCCACCTGGTTCTTGGTCGTCACCAGCTGATATATTGTGTCTGGAGAAGTAAGCCTCAGACTGGGCGCAGGAAGTGGCGGCTCCGGCTGCGGCCCTGACCACCGCGACCACGCTCAAAAACACAATAAAACACCTCATGTTCACACCTTCACTAATACGAAAAAAAAAGTTTTTGTTTTTTTTTTTTAAATTTCGTTCTCGTTAGTTTTTGAATTCACTCGCGTACGCGCGTTCGTCGTGTCCAGCGATCGAGACGCGTGCACCCTCATCGGAGCGAATTCCCGGACTGGCCACAGAGTAGCGCCGGTCGCCGAGAACCGAACCGGCCGGCACCTCGAATTATTAACGATAAATAAATTTGACCCGCCGCGCCGAGCTTTTCGAAACTTGCATGCCGATTTAGCGAATCGAATCCGATTTTTATAGGAAATGACGTCAGTCCGTGAAAAATCGGTAAAAACGTGCTAATCCAAAGACAGATGAATCGTGAAGAGTATTATTGAGTATTTTAACATAAAAATTTTTTTTATCGTACAGTAAGAGGAATGTAAAGGCTGTTTTGATTGAATTGGATGATTTGTCGCTTAGTGCGGAGTAGTTGGTGGTTGTAATGGAGTTGTGTCGGCATCGCAATGTCTGTGTCTGATGGCTCGCCTGCATCAGCCAGGCGGCGTTGATGCGCGCGCATCTATCGAGCGCCCCCCGACGCCGCCCGCCAAATGCGCCACCTCACTAAATGCTAAACACGATGTATGGACACCCATTAATCATATTCAAATTATTTATTGTTGAAAGCCGTTTCATATGCGTACGAAAGTTAGCTCGGTCCGTTTCTGTAATCAAAGTTCTGATGTTACATCTTTTAAATGACAATCAAGATTGACCTTCATTATTAATGGATTCAAATAAAAATAAATTAACAATTCTCACACGTGCCACAACTGATCGACTATTTATGTGATGCTGCTTTTTTACTGTTTTATAATTAAGCTATATGGAGAATAAAGAAGCTTAAGGAAAGCTTTTAATTGAATATCTTGTTGGAGCTAATAAAACCGGACTAATTATGTTTTCGTATTGGGATAATCTGTTGATGAATTCAGTATTGCCAGAAGGAAATTCTTCGTAAGGCGTACAGTGGAGGTTGACTAGAAATCGTCACGTAACGAAATCGCGAAAAAACAAATGCTATTAATGATAACTTGATTACTGGTGGTAGGTCCGCTTGTGAGTCCGCGCGGGTAGGTACCACCGCCCCGCCTATTTCTGCCGTGAAGCAGTAATGCGTTTCGGTTTGAAGGGTGGGGCAGCCGTTGTAACTATACTGAGATCTTAGAACTTATATCTCAAGGTGGGTGGCGCATTTACATTGTAGATGTCCATGGGCTCCAGTAACCACTTAACATCAGGTGGGCTGTGAGATCGTCCACCCATCTAAGCAATAAATAAAAAAAAACACTTAACTTGGATTCATAAATTAACTATAAACCTATACCGTTAAATCTTAATCGTATAAAGGAAATATTAGGACAAAATGTAAAAAATTCATCTTCGATAAATCAAAAAAGACTAGTTCAAAGCTTCTGGTAAGAGTATACTAAAAAAAAAGCCTAAGAATTTAAGCAGACATGAAACAATTCCTAAACAAATTATCATCGATCGACCTTTTTTACACAAGTCAAAGAGCGATCAGGTGAGATACCGAAATTAAGGAACTTCATTTCTAACAGGGATCTCTGATAACACAAGTTCTTTTATTGATATACAATAATCTAATTAAAACTACATTTACGTTTTTTTTAATAATAATAATAGAAAAACGATTTAGCTATAATCGTAACAACTAATTACTAAGAACAAATGACGCACAGTTATCCAGCTCCATATTAGTATTATGTGTTATGGGTACCAGAGACGGACATGTGTACTTATAGATTAATTATATATGTGCATATATAGGAAATAAACAACCAGACGAATAGCAAACAAACCTGTTCATCACACGATGTGGTAGATTCTGCGAAGCACTGCTCTTATTAGGGCCAGTGTTAGCAACACTTGCGGTTTGAGCCCCGTGAGCTCACCTACACGTTAGGGTGAAGCTGAAATAGCCTCTCAAAGCTATCAACATAGGAAGGGAAAAAAAATCACACGAACGTTTGCCCGATGTGGGAATCGAACCCACGATCCTCGGCGTAACAGTTAGAGCCGCTAACTACTGTGCCATCGAGTCAGACAAGCTTTAATCTCGCATTTTTATTATTCTCCTTTAATCCTCATGTTTGGAATATTTTGCAGTTTTCGTGAATACGATAAACACGAAATGTGAAAGGGCGCGATTAAACGTAAAATTAATTTTTCGAAGACAATTAATCTAATTTATCAATAAACCACCTTATTTTAGGTTTATGATAAAGTTTAATTAAGATTAACAGTAGATACTAGTTGCAGGATATTAAGTCCTCTACTGATTGTGCGAGCCGTTATAAATAAAACACACTCAGATGCAAATTATCGCAATTACTATTCAACGAATCGCAATTGTTCGTCACAGAGTCACAACATTAACATGCTGATTGAACGAGTACAACGAAGGCATCAATAAACATTAAAGTGTTCCAGTCTTATAGTTTCTGCATTAACATTTTTAGACACGATCAAAACAAGATTATGAAGTTGCATTGACCGTGAAGTTGAATTGAAGTTATTCGAATCCCGCCAATACACAACTCTTTAATATATTTTATTTTGTGTGAAAATTTACTGCTGGCTCGGAGGCCTTTCCAGTTTTACTTGGGCAGGTGGGCGAGCAAAGGCTCAGCCAGGAGGGCACCTCTTTAATATATAAAGAAATACCTGAAATATGCCCACAAATATGAAATTAACGATGCCACGTATAATGAAAATCAAATCCGCGAAATGTATGCAACGACTGGTAGTAGGGTATAAACTGGGGTCGTACGGGTGATACTACCATCGTTCCTATTTCTGCCACGATGTAGTCTTACGCTCGAAGGGTGAGATGGCTATTATTAAAAAGCCCATTATCGATATTGTAAAAATGTTCACGGGCTCGGAAAAGCACTTAAACCGATTGGGCCATTTTTTTCCCTACCTATGCTGATAGCCTCTCAAGGCTATATCAGCTTCTCCTTGACGTGTAGGTAAGCTCACGGGGCTCAAACCGAGTGTGTTGCTAACACTCGCCCTAGCAAGAGCAGTGCTTCGCAGAATCTATCACCAGATCGGAAACGCGACTCACTGAGTAGATCCGGCGAGAAACTCAGTGGGCTGTGTCTATGGGTTAATTCGCTCGTCAAGCCCTTCATCGCAAGCGACGGGTTCGACGAAGACGGTGACCGGAAATTGGGCTGTGTTACATATGCCTATCTATAAAAAGATGTATGTATTTTACTCCTTCATCGTATTTTATTTTTTGCTTAGTGTTAGGTGAACAATATCCATCTGGTGTTATGTGGTCACCGAAGCCCATAGACATTGACAACGTAAATGCCGCCACCTTGAGACGTTAGTTCTGAGTCTCAGTTTTATAGTACGACTGCCCCAGTATTCAACGAGGATGACAATCCACTCCGGTAGCGGTTATTTTGCTTACATATCTGCCAGTAGCCTTTAGCATCGCCTTTAACTAGTTTACGTCTATTATATATATTCGCTTTGTTCATGCACGAGCTTACGGGGCCCTAAGCCTAAAATAATTTGCTAACGTATTTTTTTTATTGATTAGGTGGGTGGACGAGCATACGGCCCACCTGATGTTGAGTGGTTACCGTCGCCCATGGACTTCAGCAATGCCAAGGGCAGAGCCAAGCCGCTGCCTACCGAGCCAAGCCGCTGCCTACCGAGCCAAGCCGCTGCCTACCGAGCCAAGCCGCTGCCTGCCCATAGATATATACAACATAAATGCCGCTACCCACCTCGAGACATGAATTCTAAGATCTCCAGTATAGTTACAACGGCTGCCCCACCCTTTAAGCCGAAACGGATTATTGTTTCACGGCAGAAATAGGCGGGGTGGTGATATCTACCCGTACTAGCTCACAAGACTTTCTACACACGAGTACATAATTACTCGAATTATAATTATTTGGAGGCATTTGTACCCTCTCCAGGCTCCAGGACCTAGCTCTTGGCGTCTTACCTCTCAGAGAACGAACGTTTAAGTGTACTCAGAAATGAGGCATTCCGATGATGAATGTCGTTTAAATGCCATATTTTTAATTTATCACCGTACATATAATCCAGGTAGGTGCTTCATTGAGGATCCTTCGGGCCGCGCCCCGCCGCCTGTGGCGTATCGCATTGTTACTCCTCTCCGGCGGTAACATTGTTAAACACACTAACTAGACATAAGCGAATAGCGTTTTAGCATTATATTCCCTGCCAAGCAACTTTGTGCTTTAAATTTAAAATCAATAACACCAATTATTCGTTGTGTCGTTTATTTTCTTTAGTTTTCCCGATACTATGTCTATGTGAGATTTTGACTATAATTAAAAACTACTATTACGGTTTAATCTCACGTTTTTTTATTGCCATTACATAATTTATTAAATTCCTTTATGTTATTATTCGTAAGGTAAGAAATAGTGTAATGACCATTAAAAAAAATGAGACCAGACTGTAAAAGTAGTTGTAATGATATTATATAATTATTTATAATTATTTATATATTAATACGTGAAGCAAAAACTTTGTACCCCTTTTTTACGGAAATTGTGCACACGGAGGAGTATGAAATTTCCCACACATATAGAGAAGGTGTGCAGAATGCTAATATTTTTTTAATTGTGCATTAATAATGCATTATATCAATAAAAAAATATTACACACACTACCATGTATTTGACACACACACCATATATATATAATCTTTATTTACTGTCAAACTTTTGTCACTGCTTAAAGTCGGTGGTCAATTTGAGAATAGGTTAATAATGTTTATCTTTAATATTATTTGTCTATAGTGTAGTTTTGGCAAAATATGTGATTATATAATAGAAGTATAATAGTCTTTAACAATAGAATCATAATAATCTGCAAACTTTAATTTTAATTAATTATTTAACTAATTTTTTTTTTATTTATTGCTTAGATGGATGGACGAGCTCACAGCCCACCTGATGTTAAGTGATTACTGGAGCCCATAGACATCTACAACGTAAATTCAAATTCAAATTCAAATTCAAAATCATTTATTTCAACTTGGATGTCATCAAAAACACACTTGTTGAATGTCAAAATGTAAAAGAAAATGTTAACTCTACCACCGGTTCCAAAAAAGCCACAGTCCTGAGAAGAACCGGCGAAACAAATGCGCCACCCACCTCGAGATATAAGTTCTAAGGTCTTAGTATAGTTACGACGGCTACCCCACCCTTCGAACCGAAACGCATTACTGCTTCACGGCGGAAATAGGCGGGGTGGTGGTACCTACCCGTGCGGACTCCCAAGAGGTCCTACCACCAATATTATATAATTCACATACGAACACTAAAATATTTTCTTGACAGCACGAAATGTAACACAATTAGAATCAGATGACGGTCGAC